CCTAGAGAGCTCCACCGAACGCCCCGGCGGCCCCGTGCAATTTTGGCGCACCCCTCACACGGTTCGTGGTCCCATAAGGAGTTCCACCGAACGCCCCAGTGGCAAGGTTCGCATGGCGGCCCCTCCCCATTTTGGCGCACCCATCACACGGTTCGTGGCCCCATAGGGAGCTCCACCGAAGGCCCCAGTGGCAGGGTTCGCATGGCGGCCCCGCCCCATTTTGGCGCACCCCTCACGCGGTTCGTGGCCCCATAGGGAGCTCCACCGAAAGCCCCGGTGGCAGGGTTCGCATGGCTGCCCCGCCCCATTTTGGCGACCCCTCACACGTTTCGTGCATTTTGGCGCACCCCCACACGGTTCGTGGCCCCATAGGGACCTCCACCGAACGCCCCAGTGGCAGGGTTCGCATGGCGGCCCCGCCCCATTTTGGCGCACCCCTCACACGGTTCGTGGCCCCATAGGGAGCTCCCCCGACCGCCCCAGTGGCAGGGTTCGCATGGCGGCCCCGCCCCATTTTGGCGCACCCCTCACACGGTTCGTGGCCCCATTGGGAATTCCCCTTGCTTCGTCCCACCCGCCCTGCGGTTCTCACTCTTGCGTATGGTTGGGTCCTTCGCCAGGATAATTGCTCTCTATCTCTCTCTCTCCCTCTCTCTCTCTCTATCCTTCCCAATGAGTCATACAATTCACGTGCGGGACTGCTGCAACCGTTCATCTCGTCCTACGTGTGCTCGACCATTCTCCAACCACCGAGTCCCAATAGCGCTGCAATCCGGGCACAATGTGCGGACACATTTTTTGCCCCCAGGGCATCGCGCACTGCACCCTCCCTGTCAACTTGTCAGCATGCTACGATAGCGCAGTGCTTAAATCTTGAAATCGAGCTGTGCCTAACGAGAGGACGGATCAACGACTGGTGGTAACCATCAGCTGGGCGTCAGATCGCACACTGCTATGTACGTGCTCACCTGGGGCTCTTTGCTCCCGTTGCGTAATGAATTAGCCTGACGAAGGACCCAACTTAACCATAAACAATTGTGGATACCGCGTTCTGGGCCCATCGTTCGACGGGCCTCCCTATGGGGCCACGAACCATGAGGGGTGTGCCGAAATGGGCGGGGAACCGCATGCGAACCCAACCACTGGGGCCTTCAATGGAGCTCCCTATGGGGCCACGAACCGTGTGAGAGGTGTGCCGAAATGAGCGGGGAACCGCATGCGAACCCTGCCACTGGGGCCTTCGGTGGAGCTCTACGGGGCCACGAAACGTGTGAGGGGTGTGCCGAAATGGGCGGGGAACCGCATGCGAACCCTGCCGCTGGGGCCTTCGGTGGAGCTCCGTATGGGGCCACGAAACGCGTGAGGGGTGCACCAAAATTGCGCGGGGCCGCCATGCGAACCCTGCCACTGTGGCCTTCGGTGGAGCTCCGTATGGGGAGACGAAACGTGTGAGGGGTGTGCCGAAATGGGCGGGGAACCGCATGCAAACCCTGCCACTGGGGCCTTCGGTGGAGCTCCGTATGGGGTCACGAAACGTGCGAGGGGTGTGCCGAAATGGACGGGGAACCGCATGCGAACCCTGCCACTGGGGCCTTCAGTGGAGCTCCCTATGGGGCCACGAAGCGTGCGAGGGTTGTGCCGAAACGGGCGGGGAACTGCATGCGAACCCTGCCACTGGGGCCTTCGGTGGAGCTCCGTATGGGGCCACGAAACGTGTGAGAGGTGGGCCGAAACAAGTGATGACGCTGATGATGATGAGGATGAGGAGATGAGGAGGAATGGGGGCACTGGGAAGAGGAGGAGGAGGAGGAGGAGGAGGAGGAGGAGGAGGAGGAGGAGGAGGAGGAGGAGGAGGAGGAGGAGGAGTGACGCGGGGCGCTCTCTTCAAAATGAGGACCCAACACCAAAGGACGGATGGGAACCAAAAGCGTGAGCTAACTTTCGCGCCCCCAGATTGTTTGAGGAACGGGGAGCGATGGGGGCAGGGGGAAGAGAAACGAGCCGGGCTACAACCTTCAATCTCCTGATTGTGTCGTTCGTGTCCCATTGTGGCACGGGTCCTCGCTGGCCCCGCGCATCTCTGGGTCCCCCCCGGCCGGGGCACGGCAGACACCCTGCAGCCGCATCCGAGTCAGCACAACGCAGCCACGACCCCGTTTAAGACTGTGGCAGGGAGTGAAGTGAGTTTTTTTGTTGGTTTATTCTTTATTTTCATGTTTTAGGAATGAAGTGAGGATGAGGAAGAGATCGGCGAAACTGAAAAGGGCGATGATGAACGAATGTCGCTGTCCAGACAGCGTCCGTGCTGGGACTGCGCGGCAGGGGCACGATTCGCAGAACAGTGCTCGCACAACTGAAGATCATGAACCTCGCAGCGTTCGTCTGCAAAGGCGTGGCGCTGATGGAATGGATGCGCCTAGGAATGCGTTGTCGACATCGGTGGCTGGCGGGGAACATGGCTGCATCCGCCCTTCTGAGGCCCCGAGCCTGACCATCAACACATCAATTTGGGCATCCCGACGAAGATTGGGCTGATCGCCAATGCCAGGATGGAGAAGACTGGGCTTTGGTGGCTGGCAGACATACCCATGATCTTGGGGACAGTTCGGTGGCGTCCGAAAGGGGGGCGTCCAAGAGGCGGAGGGCAAATCATGGCTGGCAGCATGTCTGCGGCCCAAGCTGGATGCCGGGGACCAGACGAGGCGCCATGAAATCATGGGACGCCGCCAAGATATCCCCCTGGCAACACCCCCCTCTTGGCCGCTCCCGAACAGTGGGCGTGGAACAACGAACCGCGCACTAAATGTGATTCAATACGCTAGGGGCCAGAACGGGAGCCATAGCGACCCGAGTCGCCAAGGAGCCCGTGATCAATCCAACGGAATTCGGTGAAGTGGCCTGCTTTCCATGGAGGTCCCGCGTTGCCCGTCGCTCCAGGGCGATATGCTCAGGGCGAAGCCGCACTCCGAATAAAGCACCACTATTCCTCCAGCGGCAAGGTGACGGCAGCGTCGCGAAGCGCTAAGCCAGGACACGCTTAGGCGAATTCGCCCTGGGCGTAACAAACGAGTGGGCTGGGCGTGGCAATCGCGTGCAATAAAATGTGCCGAGGCGGACCACGCGAATGAGGCACCCGCGCATCCATCAAATTTGCGCCCCAAGCCCACGCCCCTCCCCCACCTGCAGGCGCCCACCCTGTAGCGCGGCGACGGAACCGCGCGGCAGCGCAGCCAGAAGAGTCGTCCCAGGACAGCGTGTTCAGAATGAGGCCGCGCTCCGAAAGAGGCCCCCCGCGCACTCTGCAAATCCTGCCGGTTCGCCGATGATCGGGCTGGCGACGGGATTGCTTTGGAACCGAAGATATCAGGGACACCAGCCATTAGCTGCTCCGTCCTGAACCCTGCCGCATAAGGCGGGGAGGAAACAGAGCACGACCTGGGCGTCCCAATGCGAAACATCTCGGGGTCCAACGGGGGACGGTCGTAATGTAGCCGAGGCCCATCCGCCGGCCTGGCTGGCTGACAGCAACAGTAGTCGTCCTGCTGATGACCCGCCAGGGGCTGGGCCGCTCAGAAAGCAACGACTTGTTGAGCCGCGTCCCAAGGTATGTCCGAGACTACGCCCTGGAAGCTTGCCAGTGGCGTCGCAGTTGCGCTGCTCAAGGTGTCGTGAAACGCCTGCCGCATCCCAAGGCTGCCCTGTCTGGGAGGTATCACGCACGGGACAATTTGCTTCCAACCTCGTTCTGCCGCAGTTGGGGCAACGGTCGAGGTAAGGAGCGTGGACTCCTCTCGCGAGGTCGAAATCCACCACCAACAGCCAACGGTGCTCTCACAACCAGCGACCAACAAAGCGCTCTCGTCAAGAGCCCGAACATAATGGTGTGCAACCTGGCAACCGTGCGACCAGCCAGAACAGACGGAGCCCGCTTCTCGAAGACCAGTCGTCTCCTTCCGGCGGCCTCCACCGCGGGAAGACAAGGAACACCTCCTTTCCGTCCCTCCTCCTACACCGTAGCTGCTGGATGCAGTCAGCAAGGCACGACTCCCTCCTCTTCTTTCTCCTCGTCATCCTCCCTCTCCCTTCCCTCCTCCTTCTCCACTCTCTATCCTCCTGCTAACTCCTCCCTTCTCCTCCCTTCTCCTCCGTCGTCCTTCTCCCTCCCTCCTCCTACTCCTCTTCCTCCTTCTCCTCCTCCTCCTCATTCTCCTCGCCCCCCCTTCTCTCACATTCTGTAACTGCTTCTGCCTCTGTTGCTGCTGCCTGTCTTTCTCTCCTCCTTATCCGCCCTCCGTCTTCCTGCTGCTCGTTCTTCTCCTCCTGCTTCTGCTCCTGCTGCTGCTGCTCCTCCATCCTGCTCCTGCTAGTTACCGTCCTCCTCACCCTCCGCCTCATCATCTGCTAATCCTGCCCGTTCTCATCCTCCCCATTCTGCTCACTCCTCCTCGTCCTCCTCCTGCTGCTGTTGCTCCCTCTCCTCCCCCTGCTCCTCCTCCTGTCTTCTCTTGTCTTCTCCTATTGCTCCTCCTCTTGCTACTGCTCCTCCTCTTGCTTCTCGCCTCTCCTGACCTTTTCCCTTCAGATCCGCCCCTCGAGCGATGCCACGAATCGTGCCCCCACCGCTTCCCTCAAAAGCTCGTTACGAGCATTTCCTTCCTCTGCTCCTTCTTCTCTTCCTCATCCTCTTCCCCCTTATCCTCTTAAAGGATCGAATCTCAATTCTTTTGAATGTTTCTGGCGCTGTATGGGCCTCCTGAGGCCACCAGGGAGGAGGAAATGGAATTCGTGGCGAACCTTTCCTCCCTCCCTCCTTGCTCACCCTCACAAGTCTCTCGCCCATCCCCCCGGGAGGACACAGAGCGGGGGAGACGACGAAAAGAGGCGTGCAGTCAGAAACACTCGAACACCCTACATCATCACATCAAGTAGCCAAATGCATGCGAATGCATACACGAACGGATTGCAACCGTCGGCTGATGTTCTACATCACCCAGCGAATCTCACTTGTCTTTCTTGGTCTGCTTGTTCCCGAAAAGAGCCTTCCATCACTGCTATTGGCGCTCGGCCCGGCCCGACGCAATGAACACTTCCATGGCGCCCATCGCATGTCGTCAAAACGGAAAACAACTCGGGACATCAAGACACAATGAAACGATATGTATACAACCATCGTGCACGAATCATATGGTGTTTGACCAAACGTCGTCTGCACAAACCATGACTGCTCCGCTCCGTCTCGATTGCACCCGGACCCTTCAACATCACCCGCGACCTCCTGTGTTCGCACACGCGCCTGCTCGTAGTCACTTCACCGAACTGGTCTCCATTCCATTCTTCCCCCCCCTCTCTCTACATATCCGCCATTGTGCTCTGCCCACGTTGGGTCGTGCTAGAAGACCTGTTACTTTTCTGGTAAGGTTTCCCCATTTTCTAGCCTCCATATTTGCACGCGCCCTTCCCAGACCTCCGACGGGTAGGAATTCTCAATGCGTGGACACCAGAATTCTCGACCCCTCCTCCTCCTCCTCCTCCTCCTCCTTCTCCTTATTACTATTATTATTATTATTATTACTACTATTATTACTATGATAATACTTCTTATTCGTACTCATATCACTATTAACAAAATTCGGCCTCTCGAGCGCACCTGCTGACGGCTGTTACGGGGAGGCTCAGCGGGCCCGCAACCAGGAGCAGGAGCATAATCAATCGTTGCACCAGGTAGAGGAGGAGGAGGGGAGGAGAAACACACTGCAGCCTGACGACGCCAGGCGCAAGCGATAAATTTATGTCTCCGAGAGGTGACACGGAGGCAAGAATCACAGTGTTGCTTGGGTCTGCCTGGGGTGCCGAAGCGGCGGCAGTTATGAAACGACACGAAGACATCAACGCAAGCGGAAAACAGAACAGTCGACGACATCGGCGACGGTGAAAGCAGGCGGAAGGGGAGTAGCCAGGGAGCACCCTCAGGAAACCATGGCGACGAAATAAATACATGACCGAGCAAGTGCTTGAACAGAGAGGCGAGACGGGGACAACATGAGTAGTGCTTAACAGAGTCAAGATCTTCATCTCCACCGTCTGGACATCCCATGACACAGCCTGCAGAGCGGGCCTTTAATCTCCTGGGCGTGCAAAATCCTCGGCATAAGAAGCGCAAGGTTCGCACAAGAAGATACGGCTGTGTGTTCCGAGATGACGACGAAAAGGTTCAACAAGAAACGGTACATATGTTCCAGAGTCACGTTCGGGAACCATGCAGCAACCCGACGGAAAAGAATCTGGCGTGAATCTTCACGACTCAGACTGCGCGCAAATACCCGCTCATACAAACGAGCCTGCAGCTTGTCCGTCTCAACGCTAAGAGAAGAAACTATACAATGGAATCAACGATACAAGGACGGCATCTAATACGGAAAACTCGTCTTCCACCACCCACGCCGAGATCCCGAAGGTGCTCAAACACTGCTTCACCGTATCATTTTATTCATGTGCCTTAAACATGTCGCACGAGAGAGGCACTCGATATCTTGAAACTCAATGGGGAGATGAAGCTGGCTAAATTGGGTGCAGAGGGCATAGCTGAATTCATTGCGTGGCCCAGCCGTGAGGACCATCACAAGCTCGCGTAGCAGCCCATCAAAGTTTTCGACGCCGGGTGCGATTGAATAGTGAAGCTGAGGGCCGGAACGCGCATAGCACGAAACGCCACGCTAGATCTCGTAAGCCCCAGCCGCAGGTGGCGAGTAACCCCCACGCGTGCACGAAACTTCAGGAGCGCCTCGCCCCCATGCATTCTGATAAGCAAGCGGGGCAATAGTGATGCCGAGGTATTTCGCACTCTTGACAACTTGCAGGTGCTTAAGGTCGCGCTTGAGGGCGGCGGCGGAGGCGCGAACAATATCCAGGTCGATCTCTCCAGCGAGAAGAATCTGACATTTCTTATAGTGTAGACTGAGGCCAGCGATTTTCTCAAGCAAACACAGTCTGTGCAAAATGGGGCCCACGGGCGGGAAAATGTTCACCATGCCGAAGCAAAAGTCGCCCGCGTAGGCCGAAGTCCGATCGACATGCCGAGACGGAGACGCTTGGACCCATCGCAGAAGTGGATCGGCAACAAGAACGAATAACAACATGCTGGACGGACAGCCTTGCTTCACCCCGCGCCTCATCTGGATGGTCCCGTGCCTCCTCCCTCCAGGAAAAGACGTGGCAGGTTGCCCTTGGTGCAATAAAATGAAGAAAGAACGTAGTGCAGAGAAACTGCCCATCGCATGCAGAACGTGTAACAGCCATGAAATCTCCAGAAGAGTGGAGGCCGCGCTGGAATGTGTGAGCAGCAAGCCTGCGTTCTCATTCGCGCGGACGTGTTGTGCGACAGCCCGCGCTTCTGCATTGGCGATGTTAGTGGGCGCGCCACGACCCCATCGTGCATGTTTGAGCAATGTCGACAGAAGGCGCAGAGCTAACAGCAAACGGAATCGACATCGCACCCGCCGCGATTTTACTGTCCGTGTCGCTCATGCTCAACGGGCGAGTGTCTTTCGGACCACGAATGACCGAATACCAACAATCCCGAACGTTCGGTTCTTTGGGGATAACAACCATCGAGCTGTGTCGCACCGATGGCGGCAAGCTTGAAACTGTGCCATTAAAGAAACACATGCAGTCGTCGTGCAGACCACGTGCAGCGGCAAGCGCCTTCCACGCACCGTGAGGAATGCCGTCAGGCCCAGGCGTGCTATGGTAGCGAGCACATGCGTATTCGTAAAACTGAAGATATGAAACATGCCATTCCATCGGGGGGACCTCAGGGGGCTTCTAGACATGGCTGGGCACCCCAGGCCATGCGCTACAATCAAGTTCCTTGGGGGCAACAGCACGGGACCAGTGGGCCTACAAAACCTGCGCGGGGCGCTCAGGGGACTCACAGGGTGACCCTGTCTCATCGTATGTACAAATAAATAGGTGCGGCTCCGTGAACGCCTCCAAAGAGCTCGGTCACGCTGAACGCGAGCAGACAAGTTTTTCTTAGTGGGCTCGGGGGCGCCAGGGCGTTCAATCTCCATCGCTTCCTGTGCTGGATGCTGAGACTGGGCCGACTGAACCATCGAACAGGGGCCATTCAGGTTCGCGCGCGCATGCGAGGAGTCATGGAAGTGAGCGCGCAGCGCAGGATACGACCTAAGAGCAGCAGCCACCGTCCACTCCTCCCTCATCCTCGCCCCAAGAAGAGCATGCAGCTGCAGAGCTAAGCGAACGTGCTGGGCAAAGACAAACATGGGCGCCTTGACCGCGCCGAGTCGGTCCCATTCCGAAGCGCCCGGTGCGCTGGCGTCGAACTCGGCAACGAGAGATTCGAGATGCGGGGCAAAAACAGAATGACAAGCAATGTGTTTGGGGATCGTGGGGCGCTCAATGGGAGGGGTGAGCGGCGAGGGGATAGCAAAGACAGGGATGTGGTCGCTCGGAGCTTTGGCCTTGGGGCGGCCAACAACGCCTCCACGGATATCATGATCCCTCGAAACAAAACCCGAGGCAAGGTGGAGTAGATGCGGTCCAAGCGCGACGTGCACTTAAATGACCCCGTCCCTGACCTCCCTCCGCGTGTCGTTTTCCTGGTAAAGCATAATCACCGCATGAAAGACTTTCTGTGAAATATCCGGGGGTTTGCCCGGTCCCGAAGTAGCCAGCTGCCGCCGCCCTGCGTCCTCCCCTCCTCCTCAATCGCGATGTTGAAATCCCCCGGCAACAGACGCTGTGAGCCTCGCGAAGCATCCGCGGCAGCGCGAGCAGACTTCAGAACGACAGCGTAGGTCGCGAGCCTGTCACTCGTGTTCGGCAAGTGACTGTCGAACATCGTTAGGTGTCCCGAGGGGCCCTCGCAGGTAGTCTGCAAACCCGATTGGTAAGAATTTCTCCATGAACGGTGAAAGGGAATGACTCAGTAATCCGCGGGCCCAAGGCAGTGGCCGCGCCGCTTTCTCTCCGGGAGCCCTCGAACGCAGAGAAACCGATGTTGTGCCCGAGGCGGGGCCCATCCAGCTCCGCGAGGAGCTCTCCGATATCACCGCAATAATCGTGCGTTTCATGGCCGCCAACAACCTGGAAATTACGAGAGAGAGAGAGAGAGAGAGAGAGAGAGAGAGAGAGAGAGAGAAAAAAAAGAGAGAGAGAGAGAGAGAGAGAGAGAGAGAGAGAGAGAGAGATAGAGAGAGAGAGAGATAAATAAATAAACAAACAAATATAGAGGGAATACTGGCACCTAGCACGCGAGCGCCAGGAGGAGTTGCGAACGCTGCTAAAGAGCCTGTGGGCGTTCCAACTGCAGACAGAGAAAGGCGCGCGCGGAGGGGCGGGAAGAGCATTAGGGGGGAGGAAGACCTATCATCGCCAATTTTGCCATCTTTACAAGCTGGGAAAACAGGGCGAGAGGGGAGAGAGACATCAGGCAACAGGCTGCATACTTCAGCCGCGAAAGGGCCCATTCATCTGAGCCGCGGCCGTCTGGCGAAAATATTCCACGTGCGTCGAGATCGAGGTCGAGATCCACTCGGGAGGCATCCTCGTTTAACCGCAGGTTTGCCAACGGGACAGGGCCATCTGGCTTCCTCAGAACATAAATGCAGCCGCCGAGCCGGTTGCTGTTGACCGTGTGCCCACGCGGCTGCAGGAGGCGCGACATGGCTGAACGAAGGCGGCCCATGCTCAGGAAGAGGCGGCGGCTCCTAGAATCAACATCGCTGCGGACGCGTAGTTTGAGCGGTTCCGACGCAAGTGGGTGAAAGTGAACAAACTCGCCATCCACCTCATACTTGGTCAAGAAATTGCTAGCGGCAGAAACGGACTCAACATGCAACGTAACCTTCCGTGTGAGATGGGGTGCCGTGATCGTGATGTTCTTCTGTACACTGGTGGGAGCATATTTCTCACGAGTGGCCTCACCAGCACTCCGACATGTACTTGCCAACATGCGCCGTTGGAGCCCGATAGTAACAAGTTTGGTAGTATTGTCCTGCCCGCATTCGGCGCGAGCAGC